TGCGCGGAAAATCTCACTCATGTATTGGGGGGGGGAGGGGGGCGTCGTGGGGCGTCGTGGTTGTCGCGACAGCATCAAGGGAAAAACCGGTGGACAAGCGCGTGTGTGTACCAGACACAGGACATATCACATCCGGGATAGGGTGAGGTATCTCCTACGGATTTTGGGCACAAATACGTGTGTAGCACGGCCATCTGTTGCCGGAGCACGACCAAACCGGTGTGACCAGGAGTGTCCGATTTTTTTTTTTCCTGACAGGGCAACAGATGGTCAATCGGTGCCCTATAGATCTCGTTCTGGTCGAAAGCTAGGGTTATTGAGGCTTCCCGATGATCAAACTTGGGGGCGCACCTGCATCGTTTTGGAATAGGCCAATACTTGGAGGCATTTTCCCCTCCTGGGATGAAGAGAAAAAAGTTCGCGCTTCGCGCTCCGCGGCTCATTAAAAAATGATTCCAAACACGTTGACACAGCAGCGGCTTATTCGGTTGCGGCACCATAGCTCCCGTAATGTTGTCTTTAACACAAACAATTCATTTCCCTTCGTGTTCCGTGGGGGGGGGGGGCGGGAGGTCCGTAGCACTCTACAGGGAACGAAAGCGGCATCCCGTGTCAACCACGGAACACACCGCCCCAACAAGGCCAAGACATCAACACTGACCAACTGCATTACCCTTCAACCCCCCCCCGCCCCCCCCCTGCCTCCCCCCCGTAGCGCAACGATGTTTGCCATAGGGGTTGGGTTTTCGTCGCTTGGCAACGACGTTGTAAAACAGGCCGCCCCCCCTGGTGTTTGCCATCGGGGTTGGGTTTTCGTCGCCTGGCAGCGATGTTGTAAAATAAGCCGATCACTTCGTGAACTCGGCAACCAGGTTACCGCTTTTTTTTTTTGCCTTTGTTTTTTTTTTTGCGGTAACCATGAATGGTGGTCGAGTAGATCATGTTGTGCGGGGTCGAGAACCCTCACTCCGCGCAAAGGGGATAATCGCACGTTGTGTTAAAATGGTCAAGCACCCTTGAGGCAGTTACACAGCGATTACAACTGTCTCTGGAAGTGAACGCACCAGAAAATAAATTAAGTCATACGCAGCTGTCATCCGTAAGCAAGGAAGTAAGCACAAGATGCCGAACACCCTTAGCAGGATGCAGCGCACCCTTCATGCAACTCGCCGAATACCTCACGGCGCTTCGCGCTTGGTGATGTGAGAGCCTGGTCCGGTGAGAACCCGGCGTGCTCCGTCCCGGCTTTGTAGGGATGCGAGGTCAATGGTCTAACGACTACGGCATGCACGACTATGAGTACCCCCCCCCCCCCCTGCACCTTACACGCTCGGGCCGCCTGCACGACAAATCAAGTTTCAAGAGGAAACAGAACAGGGAGGGGGGACGCAGACCCTTTTCCCTAACTCGGCTTCCCCGATTGCATTCGCCTCACCCAACACGTTTACATAATTGAAAAATCCTCGCTACTGGTGTCCTCACCGTGAAGCCCGACAGCTGCGTCGCCCGTATCTCTCTGGTGAACTGCCCGATCCCTAGCTCGGGAGAGCGGATCAGCAGCTGCACCGGGGGCCCCGCCCTTATCGACACCGGCAGGCGCAGCACGCGCGTCTCGTCCACGACGCCGCCAGCCGCCGCCGCCCCACCCCCCTGATTTCCCCCTCTCGCGGGGTCCCCTCCGTTGGCGGAGTCTTCGCTGCTGGAGCCCATGATGAGGATGTGACCGTTCTGGCCGGGGGGGCCTTCAAGGTTGAGGCTGCGGGGGAAGTGGTAGTGGCCGTTTGCCTTGGAGGGCTTCATGAGCTTGCACTGATGCTCCGGCAACACTGTTTTTTTTTTTATGTTCAAGGCCGCGCAAAGAAAGGATTCGTCAAGATGGGGGGGGGGGTGCTGGCTCGTAAATGTTTCATGGTGGTGTGTATCCTTGTTGTTTTGACCTTCAAATCAAATCAACATTTGGTGACACCAGAAACGCGACGCACGCCATGCAAAATATGCAGCTTTCCTCCCGGTCGTAGATCGTATCTCTAAGAGCTGTCAATATGCCAGAGAGAGATTACTGGTACAACAAGCCCGTCCCTTCTTTTAGCGTGCGGCCGAGGGCACAAATGTTGTGTCGAGTTGTTCGTCTGTTCTGTTCACAAAAAAAAAAAAACAGGGGCAAAGCTTATGAAGGTGCGGAAAATGTAAAAGCTCTCTCTTGCTTTCTACACATATGTCGACAAGTATCAAACGGGATGAATAAAAGAAACACACACACACACACATGTGAGTGGAGACAAAAAAAAAACAGACACAACAGACAAATGATTCATTTTCGCTCTTGCGTCCTACAAAATCGGTTGAAAACAAGAAAGCGAAGGAACTCACGGTTCGTAAAAGGCATGCCCTCGATCCTGATTTCGGGTGCTCTGGGCACGTTTTTGACCAGGTTCCCATAACTGTCGACGGGAACGAAGCCTTGAACAACCTGCCGCAGATACATGGTACAACATATCCGATTCTTGCTTGTTTGGGCGAGCGACAAGTCAATCGATGAGCCTACGTCAGGCTGTCATGTTCCATGTGTGGTGTGGACAACCTATCTACCAGGTTCAACTTTTCTCTCGGGGGGAATCTCGGGGGAAAAATAAAAGGTAACCATGGTGTCATGACGCCATCGGGTGATCGAGACCAAGTCATATGGGCATGATATGATTGGATTGCCTGCGTTCAAAAGCGTGGACGGACGCCTTTCACCCTGTCACACAACAGCAGTAGGGGGCTGATGGTGGTGGTGCTCACATCTGATGGTGGTGTTCATTCACATCGAGCTTTGAGATTGGTCCAGGGGGGATGTGCTATCTTTCGCAACCTACGGTATGACGTAGGGCCGTATCATACGCACCGCCTTCAAAGACTCGTGACACGCCTTGGCGTCGTCGCCGCTGGTGAGCTCGAGAGGGGTGATGTTGTCCGTGATCTTGCCGCCCGCCGAGGGCTTCACCGCCATCCACCGGGAAACCGGTCCTGAATCGGCAAACAAAAACGCAAAACAGGGGGAGGGGGGGGGCGGTTTCAGAAAGCACCACTCTGAGGATTAAGAACCTGGCATGCATAAAAGGCGTGCTTCTTATTTCGTTCGAGGGGAATAACAGCAACTATTGTTGCCTTCACATCAGAAACCGTTCCGGTCTCTTAGTACTCCTTATACCCGTACCGGCCCCCAGCTGACACGCGGAAGCCTTTGGTGAGTGGTCATAGACCAACCACCCATAAACGGTACAATTTTGGATTCATCAAAGAGAGGAACAAAGAGGACGCAGCACAATCCATCACAGTCGCGATAGTAGAGCGCCAAGACAACCCGGACGGAAATAGAAAGACCTCAGCCAGACACAGAAGCCAGACGTCACTGCCGATAAATCGGGCAGAAGGACATGTACAAAATAAAACAACTAGAGCGCATCACATCCCGCTTGGCAAGCCATTACATTCCCTACCTGCTTGCACCGCGAAGGCAAAGGTCGCCGGGAGCGGAGTCAACGGCCACCCGCCGACAGCCCGAGGGGTAACGACGACCTTGGCGTGGTGGATGCCGTTCTCCAGTCTCGACAGCTGGGTCGGCACCTGACACCACCCCGTCAGTCACGAAAAATTCGCGAAGGGGGGGGGGGGGGGGGGGGGGGGGGGGGGCCCCGGGTTTAAGGGCCAAACTTTTGGGGCCCAAAATTTTGCCCCCCCCCTTAAAAAAAAAACCAAAAAGGGGGGGGGGGGGGCCCGGGAAAAAATTGGCCACAAAACGGGAAAAAAAAGGGAAAAAAAGGGGGCAAACCCCCCTTTTTTTTGCTTTTAAAAGGGAAAGGGGGGGGGGGAATAAAAAAAAAAAAAAAAAGGGGGGCCCCCCCCGGTTCCCCCAAAAAGGGGGGGGGGGAAAAAACCCCCCCCAAGGGGGGGGGGGAAAAAAAAACAAAAACCCCCAAGGGGTTGGGTCCCCCAAACCCAAAAC